TTTTAGAAGCTGCATAATGTTTTGAACTGAAGTCAAATACATTTTTAATTAATAGATCTAAAAAGTCCTGCAGATCAATTTCCCGCTCAAGCTGGCAACATGTTAGCCGTGTCTCAATATGCATTCTTGTTATTTGAAATGGTACCATTCAGAGAAATTCTATATTTACCTCAGAGTGCAGTTAGGTAAGTTGTTTTTAAAATAAATAAAATAAAATAATACACCGTGAAAGCCTTCTTTAAAAAAAGAAAAAAAAGAAAAGAAAAAAGAAAAATGTCCAGGCACTAAAATTGAAGTTGTTGGTAGTTTGTAATTTCTGCCGCTAGGTGGCTCTTAATACAAAACATAACACAATACCGTAGTTTGTTGACGTCATGAAGCAGCGGGGGATTATGGGAGTTGTTGTTTTCACCGCTGCTGCCGCTGGAGATTTGTGATTGATGAGGGAGAAATCGTGTTCACAGAGTAGGTAGTATATAAAGTTTTATTCACAGACAAGTTATTGTATCAACGTTTTGTTTACGTTATGTTTAGTCACGTATATTCACCTTATATCATTTCCAATGGAGTAGCCGCAAGTAATGCAAAATGCTAACTGTAGCTAAATGTTGTAGCAGTTTTTTTTTAAGCCCAGTACTGTTATCTGAAGTCAGAAAAATTACACTACAATAATAATAACCCATTATGAGTGAGCAATGCAAACAGTAAAATGACTAAAACAATAGTGTTATCTGGTGCTTCTTTGTTTTCATGGCTACTGCCGCTAACGGTGCTAGCCTCTGGTAGGGAAACAAAATGGCGACCAAAGTAAACTTTGCAGTTACGCTGAATGATATTACAGATTTCCTTGAGTTTGAACATTGTTGAAAATATTTGAAAAAATATCAATAAACAAAAAATAAAGAAATAAAGCATGACCTAATCATTTTTAATGCAGTAATTTCACATATTATACATTTAAGTAAGTTAGTTAAGTCGTTTTTTAGACGCACATTTAAGACAACAGCCAACTGAGAAATAAGACTCTATATTTATAGTTGCCCATCGATGGGCAGTCATAAAGTAATCCTGCCCGTGTGTTGGTGTTCACACACGGTCAAACTCAAGGTCATATATCTTAGATTCTTAGGTGTAGGCCTACATTACAGCAAAATGCTTCCTCTCCATGCAAAATATCTGTGTTACATGATAGACTAAGCTCTTAGGTATCATTTTAAGGCAAAATACAGGCAAGTACATCCTCAAGTAGACCCACAGTAAAACGAACGTAAAAGAATCAGGTATATATGCATACATTGGGAAACTATGTCCCTCTACTGAGGCCTCTCTAGTTTTTAACTGTGTAACATTTTCACATCATTATTTAGAGTTGAAAAGCATACAAACGTATAAAATGTGAAAAAAATCAATATAACTGAAATTAAGAATGAAGCTTTAGCTCTGATTATGTCACGTGTTTTACTGCAGTGTTTTTTCGTTATCATTAGCTTTTATTTCATTTTTATCCGTTTCACATTCAGTACATTGTCAACTGCTGTACCTTCTGCATGCACATCCTCCCTTCATGTCTCTCTCATCTTTCTGTCTCAGTATTTTACAGTAACACAGAACAGGCCAAAGTCTACCTCACCCGCTCCAGCCCTTTGTCTCTCTCCCAGTCCATCCAGTACAGCTCCAGAACCATCTACCTCTGCTGGCACTATCTGAGCCCTAGCTGTCAGGTCAGTACACTGAGTATTGACACATCTTAGTAAGTGGTGTAGATACATTTCAAGTTAGAGGGAGTTTGTTAAACATTCATGTAGAGAGTCACCAGCCTGGATTTTTTTATTTTTTTATTTTTTAATGCAAATTTGTGGTTTGATTTTCTTAACTCTTGACAGACCACATGATGTGCACCTACTGATAGTTGTAGCTTTTTAGTGTTTTTTACAAGAGAAAATCATCACCCAAGTG